TAAGCTGCAAAAACCAGAGAAAAACATAGCCATAGCTAATAACCGTAAATTAAAAATTATTTGTTGAAATAGCTATACTGCACCAGGCCAAATGTGAAAAGATGATCAAATTCTTTCCAAACGATGCAAAATATATGAATGGTGAAAATTAACAACATGCCTGCAGAAGATCTCCGATGTTAACCACAAGAGCACCAGGAGTAGGGGGCACGTCAATCCACTGATTTTGATGAAGAACTTGGAGGCCACCCATATGGTCTTGTAGAAGTACAGTGAAAAAGTCACAGTCCGCGTGCTTGCGTGTGCCGATTGTTAATTCTGGCTGTGGGCATGCCGGATAGTAATGGCAAAGTAATGAAAGCCCCTCAGCACAATTCATGTCTTTCAGGTGACTTGTTTTCAAACCAAGGGCCTCTGATAATAATTCGAACAATACATAGCCAAGTCCCATTACTTGCTTCGAGTACTCCTGAGACTATATCTCGCAAGATGGTAACAGGACATTAAAGTCCATAAGTAACAAATTAGTGTTATGTACTGTGAATATACTTTTATGTGTATTATTTCTCCATTCTAAGCGGTACAAAAATCAATAAGATTATTGTAGTGATTAATTAGCACAGATTTTGTACAGAAATGTGTAATAATTAATCAAGGATTAATGACAGATTTTTGTTATGTACCATAAAAAAAAAATCGACACTCAGATCAACACCAAACAATGCCAATGATAATCAAAACTTTTTCTAGCCAGACTTTAGCCCGGTGTAAGACAGCTTAATTTCCAATAATCCATCACGATTCAATTGTTATTCTATAAATTTCCCTAAAGAGTAAAAAAATCTGTAAATAGCTAATAAAATTACAAATAACATACCTGAGCAGCAGCTGGTAACTCTTCAGCCTTGGGAGGATGAGGAGCCATAACAAGCAATCGTATCACGCCAGTTCGTGCTGGTCCAGTATATAAGTCAAAATTGCTATTGTAGATAAACTTTCGGTATTATCACGCGAGTAAAATTGTTTTTTCACCTCAGAATCTTGCTCAAAAAACTGCGAGCCCCATCCTTCATCTCCTCCAGAACGCTCTCTGGAATCCCATGATATAACTTGAAAGAACCCAATGTCTCCGAAGCATTTCGAACTCTTCAACATCTCCTTGCGGTGATGGGATCTTTATCAAGTCTTTCCAGATCAATAATTGGAACTTATATTCAGTGTTATTAGAAACCTGAGTAGGTCTTGGCGAAGTTATGGGCGGGTTGTTAGATATCCTCGGAATCTTGACAATTCCAGCATCAACGAGTCCTTTAACACCAACTTTTGAGTCATCGAAAGCTTTTAATTCGCTGGCTCGATCGTAGTTGGTTTCAATTGTCACCTGAGCTTCATCTGCAATGGTGGTCATCATTTTCGCTCGTGTGTAAGGAGTAAGGACCTACGATTCTGAGTACTGAAGTAACTATTGAGAGAAGTAATTGTAAAGAGAGAGTATGAAAACTTGATATGGATGATACCAATGCCCTAAGGTCGTGAATGGATGAGTGATAGCGTTTTTTGACTAATGCGGCAATGCCAAAGACTAAAATCAGATTTATTATTCAGGTGTCGCGTCATGAGTGCCACTCGAGCAATGATGTCATGAATCCAAAGAAAAATTCTGACAATCCTGGCATCATTTTTTGAAGGAAATAAATATAAGGACGATATTAATAAATGCATAGCATAAATAATAAAAAATAAATTGTCTCAAGATATTTCAGATGAAGAAAATTCAGAGATTGGATCCAAAATTTAGTAGTTAGATTCTTAGAACCAGTGGTCTGGGATTACAAGAAGAAGAAAAATCTATAACGTGCTTCTTTTTAAAGAAAAGAATTCTAAATATTTTTTTATCCCAAAAGCATTTAATTTATTTTTCATGTTATAAAATTAAAAACAGATAAAAAAATAACTTTTTGGAAGTTCTTTAACATTTCCTAATTAATCCATAAAACAATTTGATCTTTGATTACTAGAACGTTGAAACGTTAGCAGTTTTCAAATTTGAGTGGACTTTGATCAGTAATTAAATTAACCATTTGAATTGAGTTAAGGATTTTTCCCACCCAAATTAATGGCTTAACACAGTTTTCCATCATAGACTTTTAAAATACCATTTTACTATCCAAATTTATACTCCGATAACAGAACAAACTCGGTATAGACTGTTTAAGCTTTTAAGAGGGAGGCTAATGAATCTTTCGGTGGTGGAAGGCAAGGATGGATCCAGAAATCTTGTTAGGGTGAGCTAAAATAAAAACTAATTGCACTTAATTTTTTTCTATTAATATTTCTGTTAGGGTAAGCCAAAACTAGAAATTGTACATATTATTTTTATAAAAAAAATTTAAGGGTGGATCGTTGCATCCGCCCCTAACTGGAGGTTGGGTTTTAATGATTGGGATTTATTGGAATTTGATATGGGAGGGGTTGCTACGAAACACATAATTGCTCGATTACCAACGATTGATTGGGTCGGCGATAGTAAGGTTGAGGGGTTTTGTGAATGATGATCGAGGAAGATAATGGTGATGGTTGTAGATCGCAATAATGCTAAAATTGAAAATAGATATAAATTTGAATAAATAAGTGATATTTTAAAAATAAAAATCCGTGGGTGGGAGTGTCATTAATCATATTTGAGTGGGAAAATTCGTTTACTTTTTGAATTTTTTGCAAAGCATATAAAAGACATTCAAGTAAATATTGGCATTATATTATCAAAATTTTAATTTTGATGAGTAAAAGCTCCATAAGGCCAGTCTCAATCACTCAAAACTCAGTTAATAGGAGACCTAATCACCACTCGGCCATGAAAGTTGAGCTTAGGGCATCTGCCAAGATAGAAGTGGGCTTCAAAAAGAGGCCCTGAGGAGGACCTAGAAACTCAACATTGATCTTTCTCGTGTGTGGAAAACAATCACTAGACCAAAGGAAATTCGTCATTCCAACCGCAAACTACTATTGCAGATCACTCCCTAAAGTACTTTGGTAAGGCAATCTTTTCAATGTTGACAAAACCATTAGTTGAACTTAACGATGATTATGGATATTCTTTTAAATCTTCATTGCCAGTTCATAGCCTGTAATGAAGCAGCGCAGAAGTACCATCAAGGCTTTTTCCTGAAGTAAATAACATAGTCTCTCACTGTGGTTCCTGTACTTTGGAGGATTCTCTTCCGATAACAATTCCTGTATAGGTCATAGAGTCTCGAGCATGGGACTTCATCTGTGGTGAAAAAGCTTGACATTGATAATCTTGGTCCTACACTGTTTGCCACCACTCTATGCTCCACGCTTATGAATTTATCATTCGTTATAAGCTGCAAATCAAACAAAAATGTAACCACATCAATTTCAATCGGAATTAATAGTTTAAAATTCATGATATATCTGGAAAAACTGAGAACTAAAGACTTGCCTGTAGAAGATCTCCAAGTTAACCACTAAAGCCTCGGGACTGGGGGAACATCAATCCAGTGATTTAGATGATGAACTTGGAGGCCACCATATGGTCTTGCATAAGCACAGTAAGGAAGGCATTGTCGCGTGTAGTTGTGCCCATAGTAATTTTGGCTGCGGGCAGGCCGGATAGTAGTGGCAATAAAATACAAGCCCTTCAGCACACACCATCTCTTTCAGGTGATCGGGTTCAGCCCAAGACCTCAGACGAACTCAACAGTAAATATCCCATTTCATTACATGCTTGGAGTACTCCATCATTATATCTCTGCAAATTTGCATAGGAAGTGACAAATGCCATATTAGACACATGACATGAAAGAACCAGATAACAACTAATTATAAATTGCAATTAAATCACAAAACCTGCAAGCAGCTGGCAGCTCTTCTGGGTGTAAGGATGAGGAGCCATGATACAAGAAATCGTATCTCTCCAATTAGTTGATGGTCCAGAATACAAATCAAAATTGCTATTATAGACAACCCTTTTGGTCATATCGCGAGTGTAGTATTCTTTTTCACCTCAGTATTTGTTCATGAAACTTGCGTAGCCATCCATCATCTCTTTAAGAGCGCTCCCTGGAATCCCATGATTGATCACCTGAAAGAATCCCCATCCTCCGATGCATTTCGGACTTTTCAACAATACTCTTCCGTAGAACTGGATCTTATCAAGTCCTTCAAGATCTATATAGGAAAACTAAACTGATCCTCACCAGAAACCTTAGAATTACCATTAAGTGTGTGCGGTGGTAAAATATTCGGGGAATTTTATCGATTCCAGCATCAACAAGTCCTTTAACTCCAGCTTTCGTGTCATCAAAAGCTTTTAATTCACTTGCTCGATCGTAGTTCATTTCTAATGTGGTCTGCGCCCCATTACCTGTGCTAGTTACCACCATTTTCTCTCTTGTGTGGCAGCCTACGTAGGCTAATTACTACATTAAGTCGAGTAATATAATGGGAAGAGAATATTTTTTATTAATGAATATACTTTTGACATGCTACTATACAATAATTGCTGCCCACTTTGAAACTACAAGTCAATGACAAGCCCCCTTCGAGACAAAGCAAAAGTTGTGGCATCTTTACTTACCTAATATAACGGCCAAAAAAGAATAAATCTTATACTAACTCTTGTATTAATTAAATTACTATACAAATTAAGGTGTATATATATCAAATTTATCCTCATATATTATAAATTAAGATTTATGGCTCATCACTTTCGAACGTATAAAGATAAAAAAAAAAAAAAAAAAAAAAAAAAAAAATATTACTCTGAAGTTTTATATAAGAAATCTTCTATGTATCCTTCAGCTTTGCAAGAATTGATAATGTAGACTGTAATGAATAACATTTTACATGTTTGCTCTGAGCTGAAGGGTGGCCTGACTATTGAATGCTCATTCAGAGCCATCCCATTTTGAACATAACTTAGGCTTCGGTAAAGTACACAAATACGATAAAAGTGTTGGAAGAGGACATCATCAAGGAAAACTGGAAGCAGATACATATAATAACAAATATCAAATAAGCAAAAATATATATTACATATATATGCATTATAGTTGTGTATTTGGATGGGAATATATTTAGCGGCTTGAGGTTGGGGAAAGATAAGAAAGCAGGTCATGGTCAGCTTCAAATTTGGCCATGTCTACCTCTGTCAAGTGAATCCATGCCTCTATTCCATCTCCACATTTGGTGTCCATTAAAACAAATACATTCCTGTAAGGCAAACCACCCCAAGCCACCCATATTGGCCTCCCCCACCCAAAATCAGCTTCATATACAGGAAACCTACATAAACTAGTGTTAAAGAATTTAACCACCTCTCTTTTGTTCAATGTTTCGTCATCGCTTTCCAAAACACCAAAGTCTTCAAACACACCATTTTGTAGTTTTATCACATAATCCTTGTTGATTTTGCTTATTGCATTTCTAAACTTTCTGATTAGCCTATAACAATCTTTCGACTCTGAATCCTCTGAAACGATAGCGGCTGACGGTCCAGCTATATTCCCAAAAGAATCATCAGGTAGTGGCTCGTGCATCCTCTTTCGCAAATTCACTGCATGAACCAGCAAGCAAGGTCTTTCAACCCCAATCTTTAATTGGGTGGACGCAGCAAAACGACTCCAAATAAAAGATGATAACACCTCAACACGCGTTGGATGTATCCCACCATCAGAATATTTTTCTCTGAGAGCAGCTATCATAGACCCACTGAAAACAAACCTCCTCAACACAATATTCTTCTCTGAAGGAACACTAACTGTGCCAGTTAGCCCACCTATATCTTTAGGTGGAAAGAGAGTGGCAGACACAAACTGTGGACAAAAATTGGCACTTTCACCACGAGCAGTGGCAGCCCAGTTCCTGATAAAGGTGATCATTGATGAAGCATCTGCAATCTTGTGTGACATGAGTACACCAATCGCAAAACTGCCACAGTTAAAGAAGTTGATTTGAATGGCGAGGACAAAATTTATGGGGCCATCATCGTAAGGGAGGAATCTATTGAAATCACTTGCAGTTGGTTCCTGGATGAATTGTGAGAGCTGGCAACTGACTTGAGCCTTCAAGAAAACCACACCATCATCGTTGCAGTGTACATAGTTGTCTTTGAGGCATCCGGCTAATGGATAATAATGACAGAGAACCTTTGACAAAGATGATTTTAGGTTGCTGAAAATATCATTGTTGCTAAGTTGGTGATCAATGATATTGTAGAAGTAGATCAAAGGAATATGGAAAGAGGGAGATAGTTGATCAGGAAAGGAGAATTGGTAATGGTGAAGGTGATGTGGAGTTGGAAAAGAGGGTTTGATCTTCTCTTTGGAGACAACTTCAACATCGATATTCATTATTTGCTACCAAATTAACTTTAAGCTACGTATCAAAAAACTATATATGATTACAACAATCAAACTGTAATTGTTGTATATGCAGGTTTGAAAGATAAATACTGAGAGATTACAATGAACCTCTATTATATATATATATATATATATAGAACTTAACTATAAACTATAAAGCACGTTTTTTCCACTTATTTCTAATTAATATTAAGAAATAAAAAATTAAAAAGTCTCTTTCATGAAATTTTTATTTGAAGTTCACTATTACGAATATTCTCTATTAATAATATATAATTCGAGTACTTGCTGTAATATACGTGTATTGAATATATGTTTTATTCAACGACCTACTACTTCTAAAATTTAAAAGTAACCATTTAAGACCACAAGAAACACAATAATCAAACACCAATATCTTTTAAGAAAATGTTTCTTTTTATTGGGGATTGATACGATTGCACCCACCAAGTAATCTTATGATTTGTAGCACGTTCTTCAAAATATTCTCGTTTGTAAGTTTTGATGATTCCCCTTATAAAATCTCCAATATGTAAATGCGTGGATCAAGTAAGTTCAAAATTTTTTGTACTTTTGTTTAAACTCAGTATTCGGAGCTCGAAACCAAACAAAAGATATTTAGATGACAGATACGACATAATGTTTAGGCTATGTTTGTTCCATTCAAATATCACTATCATATCCTATTATCCTATTCAATCATATCCAAATATACGTTTATTTTAATATTCTCATTTCTCTTCAAAATTCAATCATATTCTATTCAACTCAAAGCATTAACAATTACTATTCTCAATAAAAGTTTTAAAATTAACAAAAACACCTCTACCCATTCAAGCCACTATTACTCACCAACAGCCACCCCCATCGCCAGCACCGCCGTGGGAGCACCGACAACTAGAAATCAATCATGCAGATACACACAAAACAAAACTACTTCCACAATCAAAATCCAATCCAAAAAGCCATCAAAAATCTCAACCCCAAGTCTTCAAAATGGCGAAACCCTAAATGGTGGGGGGCAGCAACCAGCGAGCAATTAATGTTAGGAAGGATAGGGGTTTTGGAAGTGGGAGGCCAGTGAGATGATTGGCGATCGCAAGAGGGATTCCTGACGCTGGGAGCAATCAGAAAAGGGCAAAAATTGTCATAGATCTGGTGCCTCAGATATGGCCGAAAAAGGCCAGATCGGCGCACGATAGCCCAGATCCAGCCTGTCTAGTGTCATTCCGACAGATTCTGGCCACCTTCCGACAGTGGTGGTCGGCTGCCGGCAATATGTGGGTTGGTGGATAGGGGTGTTTTTGTCAATTTATAAACTTTTATTGTGGGGGTGTTTAGTTAAATTAACAAACCTAGGAAGTTAAAAATAATCTAGATATTTTCAGAAAATGCTATTAATAATTGTTTTGAAAACTTCTCAAAATCCTATCCTATTTTCCAAAAATGCTATTCTAAAGAACTTACCAAACGGAGCCTTAGATTTGGATGTTGGATGATATCTCGAAAATCAAGATTTCTAGTTCTTGATATGAAAAAAAAAAAAAAAAAAAAAAAAAAAAAAAAGGAGATTTCAAAAACTAATTAACTTTGATCTTTTAACTCAAGTTAATTTAACCACTAAATCCACCACTGGGTGATCTGATGGTAAAAGAGCAAAAAAGAATATAAGTTTATATGGTCTCTCGAGTTCGAGTCCCTATAGCTCCTAATAAGGGCGGTCAAGTACTAGAGCTCGTACCTGGCCGATAGTTTCAGGGTCTCGAAGGATTAGTTAAAGTGCGCGCAAGCTGGCCCAGACACTCTTCGTCGTAAAAAAAAAAAAAGAAAAAAAAAACTCAAGTTAATTTTAAGATACAATTTAAAGGATTTAAGTTTTGTATTAGTATATTAATCATTAATCATATGGACGGAGGTTGTTAATTTGATGGGAATTAATAATGGACTTGAGAGAATGCAACCAGTGGTTGAGTTTTTATTGAATTAATCGAATCAAGTTGAGGGTTTCTGGATATTATAGTATAATGCTCCTTACAAGAAGTAAACTACAAGTAAAATAGACCAATAGCTGATTGCTGATCTGCACCACTGATTATATAAATGTGTGTTTGTAATTATAAATATGATGTTGATAATTAATGAATCATTGATAATTGAACTGATTTTTCTGATATGATATTATAAGTCCTGACTCCTGACTTATTGGCAAGATGATGTAGGAGAAGCAATATATATAAATGGTCATAGTAGTATAGTGTAATAGCTACCTCATGCAATTGCAGCTGTATAGGATTTATTTTGAAATTGAATTTCAAATAGGAAGTTATTGAGAAGATGAGAGAAAACTGAGAGGACGTGAAAAGAGAATTCTTGAAAAACAAAAAATCATATTGACAGTGAGTCAATAGATCTCAAATACACTGATAATTAAGAGATGTCCCAAACGCAGTCTAAGAGAAGAGCAATGAGAAACAGCTAATTAAGCCCCGAAAAGTGCCAGGCATTAATGCTCTGATTTAATCAACCAGACACATTAGTATAATTCTATAACATACCAAAAGCTGTAATCTTC